ATATATATATATATATATATATATATATATATATTGCACACAAGACTGCATTGGCGTTGCGCGCCATGCACCTTGGCCCTTCAGAATTTCGCAAGTTAGCGGAGCGCGTGCGTGGGTACATGCGCACACACATGCACCGATGGAAGCATACTACATGTGTACGTAGTATTGTATGTATGTTGGGTATGTGCATATAAATACAAATTGTATGTGTAACTACGCGTGTGCATACACATGCGTATCTCAGTCGGTAGTGGCCTGACCAGCTGCTCCGGACATCTCGCATCTCAGAAGTGCGAGGGTCTCAGGCGAAAGTGGCCAGGCTACCATGGCCCTTCAAGTCGAGCAAGCAGGCGGGAAGACAGAGATGTTTATAGTTAAAGAAAGCGATAACGCCTTGTTGCCGTTTTCGTGGTTGTCGATCTGACCATGTCTTCCAGTCCCTATCCTTTCCTCCCCTGAGAGGAAGATGAGGAGGAGGAGGAGGAGGAGGAGGAGGAGGAGGAGGAGGAGGAGAGAGGAGGAGGAGGAGAAGGAGGAGGAGGAGGAGGAGGAGGAGGCTGAGAGGAGGAGGAGCAGAGAGTATACAGAGAAGGAGGAAGAACATGAGGATAACGGGGCAGAGAAGGAGGGAGACGGGGAGAAGAAGGATGAAGGACAATACATGTTGGAAGGCTTCTGGGGGCGCCATTGAAGCTCAGTGTTGGGAGCCCTGGTGGTATGTAGCGTTGTGGGGCCTCTGGGGAGTCTTCTTGGGGCCCTTTTGGATCCTTTTTAGGGCTCTGTTGGGGTTCTCTTGGGTCGTCTCGGGGCCCTTTTGGCCCGTCTTGGGGCGTCTTGGAGGCCTATGGCCGTCGTGGGGCTCTCCTGGCGGCGTCTTGTGGCCCTCTTGGGTGCCTCTGTGGGCGCTCTTGGGGCTCTCTTGGGCCCGTCTTGGAGCCCTCTTGGGCTGTATTGGGACTCTCTTGGATCGTTTTCGGGCTCTTTGGGGGGCCTCTTGGGCTAACTTGGGGCGATCTTTGGAGCCTCTTGGGCTGGTTCGGGCTGATGTTGGCCCGAAAAAGGGAGAACCAGTAAAACCGCTGAAAACCATACAAAAATCAATGACATGTCCCTCTTGGGGTCCTCTTGGGAAGCCTCTTGGAGGCCTCTTGGGGCGCCTCGGGGCCCCCTTGGACGGTCTTGGGCGGTATTGGGGTCTCTTGGAGCGCTCTTGGGCTGTCTTGGAGCGCTCGTGGACCCGTCTTGGGAGTATCTCGGGCCGTCTGGGGCGCCTCTGGGACCGCCCGAAAATCTCGGGGAAGGCCGAAACTCGTTCGGGGGGGGGGCTCCGTCTGGGGTCCGTCCTGGGTCCCCGGCCCTATAAAAAGTATATAAGTAGGAATAGGTATACATATATATATATATGAATATACATATACATATACATATCTCTATATATACATACATGGGCGAGAGAGAAGGAAAATAATATGGAGAAGGAGAGGGAGATATAGAGAGAGCGAGACTCCACCGTGTCTGAGGCACGAAGTGGAGTCCTCAGGTCCGTAGGAGTCCCGTCCTCTGTATTGAAACGTGTTCAAGGGGCATATGGGCCCAAGTCCTGGGGTTTGTCGCGTGCAGTCTGGGGCGCCCCGCATGCTTGCTGGGGCCAGTCGAGTGACTTTGCCAGAGGCCAGAGAGTGCCAAGACGGGCCAAGAGGGTACCAAAAGGCTTCCAAGACGATCCAGCAGAGCCCCGAGACGGCCCAGAGCGTTCCAAGACGCCCAAGACGGACTCTTGACGGCCCGAGAGGCCCCCAAGACGCCCCAAGAGGGTCATAAGAGGGCACCGAAAGCAGAAGCGATAGAATTTCCTAAAAGCGTTTGAATGCTTGGAGCGATCTCGCCGTTTCGAGTTTCAGATCGCACATGGCAGCCCCAGGGGCCTACAAGATCGCTCCAAGACGGCCCAGACGGCCCACCAGATGGTCCCAAGACGACCCGAGAGGACCCCAGGATGGCCCAGGGGGCCTCCAAAGGCCCCCCAAGAGGAGTCCAGGAGGGGGAACGTGAACTGGCATGAAGGGCTTCTCCCGACAGATGGCCCCAAGACCTCCAACATGTCCCCAAGAGCCCCCCAGAAGCGCCCAATAGACCTGGGCTGGCACGGAAACGGAAAGAGCGCTGCAGCAACAGGTACCGAAATTACTCACACCACCGTTCGTACTGGGAGCCTTGGCGTTGAGAGCTTGTTACGTCACCCCTCGCTCTTGGGAGCCTTGGTGTTCAGAGATGGTTGCGTTGCCGACCGTTCCTGAGCCTCGGCTGGGCCTTGGTGTCAGGAAGTTGCTACGTCACCGCTCTCTGCTGGGAGCCTTGGTCTTATCAGCTTGTGTACGTCACCGTTCGCTCTTGGGAGCCTTGGTGTGAAGAGCTTTTTGCGTTACCGATCGCTCTTGGCGTCTCTGGGCCTTCTTGGGAGTCCTATTGGGGCCCTTGTCGGGCCCTTTGGGAGGCCTCTTGGGAACCTCTTGGGGCCTCTTGGGACTTCTTGGGGGGCTCTGGGCGCTTCCTGGGAGCTTCTTGGGGCGAAAGGCTAGACTTTTCGGTTCGTGGTGCCCCTCTTGGGGCCGTCTTGGGGCCCTCTTGGGCCGTCTTGGGCGCCTCTTGGGCCGTCTTGGCGCCCTCTTGGGCCGTTTTGGGGGCCTCTTGGGAGCCCCTTGGGCCGTCTTGGGGCGGTCTTGGGGGCCTCTTGGAGCGTCTTCAACGCAGTGAAAGCCGAAAAGCCGTGTATGCTAAAAGTGTACCTTTTCCCATAGAAAATCTCTGAGTTTGGCCTCCTGATGGCCTCGTGGGACGCGTCCTGGGGGCCTCTTGGGGCTTCTTGGGGGGCTGTGGGGGCCTCCCCGGAGCGTCTTGGGCCGATGGGCTAGACTTGTCGGTTCGTGGTGCCCCTCTTGGGGCCGTCTCGGGGCCGCCTCTTGGGCCGTCTTGGGGCGGTCTTGGGGGCTTCCTGGGCCGTCGTCAACGCCGTGAAAGGCGAAAAGCCGTATATGCTAAAAATGTACGTTTTCCTATGGGAAATCAATGATTTTGGTCTCTTGGGGCCCTCTTGGGACGCCCCTTGGGCGCCTCTTGGGGGCCTCTTGGGGGCCTTTGGGGCCGTCTTGGGGCTGTCTTGGGCTCTCTTGGAGCGCTCTTGGGCCGTCTTGGGGAGGAACCCCAAAAAACATGCAAAAACCCGAGGGAAAACCCGAGAACGGCCATTAACGCCCAAATGGGCACGCTACCCCCCTCTCCCCTGGAACCCCTCCCTTTAGGGCTTCGCCCACACCAAAACGTCATCACTCGTACCTCGCTCTTTCCGTTACCCCAAGAGATCCTGAGATGTCCCAAGAGCACCCTCAATCGGCCTCCAGGAGGCCCCCGAGAGGAACTCCGAGAGACCTCAATTGGCACCCAAGAAGGCGGCTCTGGCCCACAAACCAAATACGGTGGCAAGGTAGGCCGAAGGCCACCATGTGTATGTGCACGTACAAACAAAGCATGCCACTCAAGAGGCCGGAACTGTCCTCATCGTGTTCGCCAGGCCCCCTTGCCCCAGGTGCCTGGCCTTCTTGCCGAAGGGTTTCGAGGAAGGGCAACGTCACCCTCGGACCCCTATCATATCATCCTGTACCCTCCGCGTCTTCATGCTCCTCCGCCTATACTCTCCTCCTATCTTATCCTCGTCGTGTTTTTCTCCTTATCCTCAGCATCCCTCCCTCCTCCTCCTCCTCCTCCTCCTTCGCCGCTTCCCTCTGCTCTCGCTCTTCGTCGTCATCTTCCTCTTTCGTGTTCTCACCCTCCTCCTCATCATCATCATCCTCATCATCCGCTCTCCCCCCCGTCTGCAAGTGTCGTGCCTCGCCGAGTGAGAGCAGTAAGAGAAGGATCAGACTCACGGCTGGGCTTTTCCAACCAACGTTTCCCTCTGTAGGGAAGCGTCGAAGGCAAGTCGTGAAGACACCGGCGTGGGGAAGTGCGTCGAACCATTAAAAAGCGCAGAACGACACTCGTGGAGCTTGCTCTGAATCGCTCGTCCTCGTAACTCGCCAAACATCCCAGCGAACGACGGGGCCCACTGTCGTCTATCTTTGCTGTTTCAGGTCAGGTACACCGAGAGCTCGCCGTCAGGGTGTGGCCCACCCTGGCTCGAAACCTCCCCTGCCTCCACAGATCCTCCTCCCATGTTTCCTCACGTTCGCTTGATCCTCTGACTACCTACCAGACCACCCCAACCCAACCCGAAGACCCGAATTTGACCCGAATTTCGGGTTGGGGGGGGTACGGTCTCCATGTGATTTTTCAACGTTCCCCGACCCTCCCCACTGGAAATGGAGGGCAAATTGAGACCTTCGGGTTGGGTTGGGGTGGTTTGGTAGGTGGTGATCCTCCTCCTCCGTGGAAGTACCGGCGCGTGGATGTCGGTCATGTTGGAGATGTTCCCAGCAGTCCTGCCGCTGGGAGAGGAGCCGAGCGGGGGGGGGCACGGCTGAGCAGGGCAGGGAGAAGAGGCGGAGAGCACCGGGTGAGGCCGACGAGGCAGGGCGAGCAGGGGAGCACACGGCACAGAAGCGCCCGGTGCCGTCACAGAAGGAGTGCCTGGGACGAGAGCGCACAGATTCAAGGGAGTGGAAAGGTACAGCATGAAATGGAAAGGGACAGGGACACGGGGAGAAAGAGGGATAATTATATATGTATACACATATGTATATGTATATGTATATATATATAGATGTGTAAATGTGCATATATGTCGGGAGGGAGGGGGGGACAGAAGAAGAGGGTAATGGGATGCTAGAGCCCAGGAAAGACTTCAACTACAAACGACAGCCGCGATGCAGAGCGCCATCTGGTTCGTTTCTCCTTCTGTACCTGGGTCGATTTGAGTCCCTTGGCCATCCGCAAGTGAGCCCGCGTCGCGGGGTGAAGGTCCAGACGCCATGCTGACAGGAACAAAAGTCATAAGCCAGCTCGTGGCACCGCGAGGGAGCTGCCTGGGAGAGGGGGGAAGGGGGGGGCGAAGCCATAGCGCTGGGAGGGCTCAGTGGCTCATGAGCTGGTCGTCAATTTTACCCAGAAATTGCAGCACGAAGCTTGCTAGAGCTTCCGACATCCCTCTGTTATGGCAGAACCGCCAAGAGGTGCGCTTGACCACTCCAAAATTGCCATCGCAAACGACGCACCTGGTGGGCGATTACCTTCAGAATCCAAGAGAGCCATACCGAAAGACACATGAAGGCCTTCATGGTTAACTTCTGTCGTCGTCGTCGTTTCGTCGCCATCTTCCTCCCAAACCTCCTCACTCCACCTCCTTATGTTCCTCCTCCTCCTCCTCCTCCTCCTCCTCCTCTCCCTCCTCCTCCTCCTCCTCCTCCTCCTCCTCCTCCTCCTCCTCCTCCCCTCCTCCTCCTCCTCCTCCTCCTCCCCCTCCCACTCATACTCCGCGTCCTCCTCCCATTCCGCCTGACCCCCATCCTCCTGGTCTTCCGTCAGGGTGCGGCTCACCCTCCTAGCCAGTGACCGGGTGTTCCTCCTCCTCCTCCTCCTCCTCCGCCTCCTCGTCTTCCGCCTCCTCAGCATCACCTTCCCGCTCATCCTCATCCTTCTCCTTCGAGAGGGCCGCGAATATACATAAATTCGCTTGCTTGATCAAGACATCTCGCCAGAAGATCGTTTCTGGATGGGCTGCGGCCAAGACGGGGACATAGAGAGACAGAGAGATAGAGAGAGCGACAAATAGAGAAGAGGGAGAGAGAGATGAAACTACATCGAGGAGTAACATAACATATCTGTATGTATTTATATATATATATACATACATACATACATACATACAGATATATATATATATATATATATATATACACACGTGTATACTAGAACCATCGCGCGCGCGTTTCGCGCGCGCTCAAGTTCCAGCTAGGATCATGATCATCGTGGCCCTAGCCTTCCTTTGGAGTCCTTTGGGGCCTTCGCTAGCCCGTCTGGGGGCCCATTTCGGCCGTTCCAGGCCCCTCTTGGCTCGTCGCGGGGAGCTCAGCCCGTCTTGGGGCCCTCGGGGGGCCCTCTCCAACCATGAAGGAATCGTCTGGTGGCCTCCTCGGGCTTCCTGGGGGCTCTCTTGGGCCGTCTTGTAGTTCTTCTGTGCCGCTCGAAGCTCCTTTCAGCCCATTTTGGAACCCTCTTTGGGGCCTCTAGGGCCGTCTGGGGCCCATTTTGTCAACCTCTTGGGCCGTCGCGACCGCTGGTAGAACTGAAAAGCGAAGCTCCCAGAAATATACGTTTTCTTCCATAGGAAATGCTTGATTCTTGCCTTTGGAGGGCCTTCCCAACGGCCTCTTGGACAGTCGTGGGGGGGTCCTTTTGGGCCTTTTCGTCTGGGAGCCCAGTTCGGCTGTCCCAAGCCCCTCTTAGCATGTCATGGGTAGCTGAGCCATCTTGGGGTCCTCAGGGTGTGAAGGCCCAGTAAAGCGACCGGCGCGCTGACCCCCCCCCTTCGCGACAGGAGGTGCGTCGCGCATTCGTCGCCCGTGCACCGCCCGTGCGTCTCGGCCGCCGAAAGGGCCAGCCGTTCTCTCGAACGTGCACGTCGCCCTCGCACGGGGGCAATTTGGCGAGTGCGTCGCCGGCGCGGCGGACACCCACGGGGCGGATCGCACGCACGTCGCCCTCTCCACGGCCGCTGAAAAGGCCGGTCGCCTTCGGGAAAAAAGAAAGTCGCCCACGCTGCGGCCCTCTTGGCGAGAAGAAGGCGGCCGCTGGGCTGCCTCGGCAGATCAGCAAATCCCTCTAACATTACAAACGCAGCGATGGTGCTGAACGCACCCCGGCGATAGGCCAGCAGGTCCCCGCAGCCGCCGCCACAGCCGCCGCAACCGCCGCCAGCGCCAAAACTACCGCCGCCACGATCACCACAAACGGATGCGACCGCAACCACATCCACCGCGACGATTACGACCAACACCATTTACCGCCATCACCACCACCACGACCACCACGCTTCTCGCGACCACCACAACGACCGACACCAGCACGATCACCGACGTGACCACCACCAGCCCGCCCACCACCAGCGGCACGACCGCCGCCAGCGCGACCAAGGCGACGAACGCGACCACGACCATGATCACCAACATGACCATTACAGCAGCACCCGCCCACTCCGTCCTCCCCCCCCCTCCCCCCCATTCCCCTTGCCGGGCCGCCCTTGCCGCCGCGCCCGCCTCGCGCCCCTGCCCCATCCCCCCCCCTTGTTCCCCTCGTAATCTTCCTCTTCCACCGCCAGCGGCGGGGCCGTTCGCGGAAGGCGGGGGCGCCGCTCGCGGCGACGCGCCGCGGCCGCGAAAGGGGGGCCGAAGGAGAAAAAGAAAATGAAGAGGGGCAGACGAGGCAGGAGAGAGGACGAAGGAGGAGGAATGACAAAAGAGGAGGGACGACGAGGAAGGAAAAGGGAAATAACAAGGGCAAGCACCGCCCTTCCTGGTGCAATGGAGGACGCAGCCGCCGCCGCTTGTGAACAGCGCGAGTACGGCGGGCCGACGGCCGTTGCGCATTGCTGCTCGGGGAAATGCTAGGGGCGGGCAAAGTCGCGACTGCGTCGCGCATGCGTCGAGCGTGCGTCGCGCGTGCGTCGCGCGTGCGTCGCGCGTGCGTCGCGCGGGTCGATCGTGCGTCGCGCGCTGGCAGGGGTGCTTCGCGCGCGGGTCGGGGTGCGTCGCGAGCGCGTCGCGCGCGCGTCGCGCGTGCGTCGTCGCGTGGGCGTCGCTCGGGTCGTTCGCGCGTCGCGCGCAGGTCGCGCGCGAATCGCTCGAAGGGCCCCGCGGACTCCTGACGGCACGTGAACTGCACGCCCCGCTGGCGAAACGATCGAGGGATGCGCGCGGCAATCGTAGAAATAGCGAGACACGCGCGTGAGAACTACGAACGCGAGGAGACCAATAGACGACATGGAGATGCAGCGCGTACGGACTAATCCATTTCAAGCGCACGCCCCGTCAGATTTTGAACATCGGCCCGTCGCTGCAGCAGTTTGGCGACGTCTCGCCCGCCGATGCATTGGGGGGGGAAAAAAGATGGAAGTGAGGCGAGGGAAGGGCGGGCGGAAATTGCAACGGACGGGCGAGGAGGGGGCGCGCGGGGGCGGCGCAACGGCGGCGGGAGCGATGGAAGGCGATCGAAGCGGGGCGGCAGGAGCGAGGAGGGCGAGAAGAAGTTCCAGGAGGGTGGAAACAACGGGGGGTGAGTAGGGAGGCGGACAGGACGGCAGCCTGACACAAAAGAACTGAATACAAATTTCGCAAACGGGACAAAACGCGCAGCGCGTTGGACGAGGGGAAGAGGAAGGAAGGGGGGGGGCAGGAGGATTGGCGCGAAACGACATGGGGGTGCCGGGCGCGATGCGACGGGGCGAAGTGGCGCCGCGTCGCGCGACGTGACGTCACCCCCACGGTGGCGCGACACGCACAGCCCCCAGTCAACGCGAGGCGTCTTCGTCCTCAGCAACGGTTGGCGCCCCCGAAAATGAGCACCAGCAAATCCTCTTGCGCCGAATTGGAAACAGAACGCGTTGGTGGACAGTCGAACTAGAGTGCGCCGCGACCGCCACAATGGCTGCTGGTGCACCGGCGTCGGAAACCTATATATCGCCAGAGAAATTCCGAAGTCGCGCCATATGTTGCCCACACACTCTGGGAGGCCGGGATTCGGGACAGAGACGCAAACCAGGGCCGGCGCACGGGCGACGCTCGGGCGACGCACTGAACGAAACTCGGGGGGGGGGGGGTCGCTTCACTAGGCCTTAACACTTCATGGAGCCCTCTTCGACCATGTAGGGATCCTCCAGTGGCTCCCTCGGGCCCCCTGGGGACTCTCTCGGGCTGTTGTGGAGCTAGCTCTCGCGTGCTGCTCGACGCTCTCTTGAGGTTGCCTTGGAGCCCTCTTGGGGGCCTCGTGGACCGTGTGGCGCCGATTTGGGGGCCTTTGGGGCCGACATGGTCGCCGATGGCACATGAGAAGCGAATATCATAGAAATGTAAGTTTTCTCAAGGAAATGCAAATGTTTTGCACCCGTGAACCTTCTCAGCGGCCTCCTGGACCGTTTTCAGAGTCCTGGTAGGCCATGTTTGGACCCTCTTGGAGCCCAATTCGGCCGTTCCGGGTCCCTCTCTGCCCGTCATGGGGACCTGAGCCAGTCTTGGGGCCCTCGGGGGACCCTCTCCGACCATGTAGGGATCCTCCGGTGGCCCCCTCGGGGTTCCTGGGTACTCTCTGGGGCCGTGTTGGAGCTCTCTTGTGCTGCTTGAAGCTCTCTTCAGGCCGTCTGGGGGCCCTCTTGGGGGCCTCTTGGGCCGTCTGGGGCTCATTTTGGGAGCCCCTGGGGCCGTCGCGGCCGCTGGTAGGACTGAAACGCGAAACTCCCAGAAATATGCGTTTTCTCCCGTAGGAAATTCTTGATTTTTGCCCTTGGAAACCTTCTCAGCGGCCTCTTGGACCGTCTTGAGTGCCTTCGTGGCCGTCTAAGAGCAGTCTTGGACTGTCTTCGAGCGATCGTGGCTCGTCCGGAAGCCATCTCAGTGCGCTCTTCAGCCACCTTCCAGACAACCTGGGGCGCTTTGGGCGCCTCTTGGACCAGCTTGGGAGCCTCTGGGGGGGGTCTGGGGCCCCTTCTGAACCCTCTTGGAGCGCCCAAGGCCCCCCTGGCCCCCCATGCGAACAAGTGGTCGCAGTTCTGGGCCCTCCCTGGCCTACTCCGATCTATATATAAATATATATACATATACATATATATATACATACAGACAGACATACATACATGCATGCATACATGCATACATGCATACATGCATACACAGATACATGTGTACAGAGATATGTGTATGCCTAGATGCGTGTGTGTGTGTGCATGTGTGCGTGTGCGTGTATGTGCATTCGTATGTGTATATGAATGTATGTATGTATGGATGTATGTACGTACGTACGTACGTATGTATGTGTGTATGTATGTATGTATGGATGGATGGATGGATGGATGTGGGTATGTATGTATGTATGCATGCATGTATGCATGCATAAGGAAGTAAATAATGAAGTAAGTAAGTAAGTAAGTGTGTATGGATGTGTGTATGCGTATATATACATGCATGCATGCATGTATGTATGGATGTATGGATGGATGGATGGATGTATGTATGCGTGTAAATGTGGACGCATGGATGTAGGTAAGTATGTGAGAAAACACATAAAACGAAACGAGAGTCGCGGACTCTTTTCCACTGCGCGCACATCTGACCCAAGCCGGCTGCGGACGAAACACAACTGTGATGTGAAACGACTGTGGCCAACTGAGGCCTCTCCAGACTTCCAGACAACACCCTGGAAAGATCTATAACATCAAGAAAGCTGAAATCACAACCCCCAAGAAAGTCTTTGGCCACAACGTGATACGATACAAATATCTGCCGGCTGCAAACGCTATTATACAAAATCGTTATGAAATCAAAACACATAGAGGTCACATCTGCCAACTGCAAATGCTATTATACAAAATCGTTATGAAGTAAAAGCACATGGATGTCACCTCGAAACATGTGACGGTGTGACAGCGCATCCTACAGGCTGCCTGTCGAGCTGCTCACGTTTGTGCGGTCGCGGCACAAATCCTCTCCTGGCCTTCTCTGCAACTCTTTTCTGCAATTCACCTTGCCCGTCGAAAGTTCTGACACGACCAGATCGCATCAACTTGGTGAGAACTGCAGTGTTGGGCGACCTCTTGGTAAACGCATCCGCCGGCATACAGTGATGCTGAACCCACCTTGCACGGCATCCAATGGCACGCATAGACTGTCGGCATACACACAGTTCAAGAGCTACTCGTCTATCGCTGCCTCCAGTCGTCTCCTTCACGGGGTTGTCGAACAACGATTTCGCATCTACCACACTCACGACACTGGGATCCACTGAGATGGTACTGTCGCTCTTGAGAACTGCAACCGTGGGGTCCTCGCGCTCTGGAATCGATGTCCTTCTCCTCGAACTCGTGTCGAAATCGCTCCACATTGTCTCCTGCCATATAGACCAGATCCATTCCGCCTCCGCCAGCGCGTCGCTGAAACTGAAACTCTCCGCCGCCATAGTGCTGCCCACGACCCACTTGATCTTGTGGCTGACCCAGCTCATGATGCTGAACGGTGCCTCCGCGTTGTCGCTCAGCGCCTTCGTCGTAATGCCCACGAGAAATCCGCCTTGAGAAGCGCCCGTCTCCTTGTCGGTGTCGAAGCTGCCGTCGCTAACGCTCGCAACTCTGGCCTCGGTAGGCTTGATAGGATTGATTCGAAGCCCAAGAACTGGATCTGCTTTGAGTCGTCGTACTGCGGAATTGGCGTCGGAGATGTCCTTCATCACAGCGTTGCAGAACGAACTCTGAAGTAGTGAAGCTGTGGACGCCTCGTCTGGCCTCGCCTGCCTCGCAACCCATCCAAGACCACCAATAACTGCACGAAGTTGACCTTTTTCACCTTCTGCAGGTTGGCCCTTGGAATCTGACAATCTACCACGCTCGAGCTCGATCGGATTCAACTTCTCCTTGATATACCGCTCCATGTCAATACGGAAGCCGAAATCCTTCTCCTGTGAAAACCGTCGGCCAGCAAAAGAATTCGGACCATCACGATAGAGATTATGCCAGTGACCGATTTTGACCATGGACTCGAGCTGGTTCATCTTGTCAATGTGCTTCTCGTTGCCTCCGGGCAGCGTGTCATCAACTTCAAGAACCACAATGCCATGCACGATGTAGTCGTAATCCTTGCCATGCTGCTCGTTATTGAAGAGGCAGAACAAGCAGGGATCGTAGATGCTCATGCGGTAGTCGAGCTTGCTGAGACGATCAACCATTGTACTCCTCCATGCTGCCATTCCGCTGACAAGTCCGTAGACTTCACGATCTAAACGAATGAGGCTACCTGGTGGCACTCCAAGTGCTTCAAGGTATCCTCCTGGTGGCGGCTCGGCGTACAGCGGCTTAGTCCTCTTGCTCGGATCGCCCTGCATGAACGCGGTCGTAACGTCGCCCACGTTAGCCTCGAACTCCCTCGCAGGGAGCGCCTGCATCGCAATGTGAGGAGTAACCAGCTGTGGTACAGGGCAACTCCGCTCGATCTCCATGATGTCCGGGTCCTTGAATCCATGCACAACCCATCTCGCCTTTGCAGCCACGCCCTGCTCGGTAGGCTTCCAGCGTAATAGGATCCGACTGGTGATGATCCGCTCGCGCTTGCTCTTGCGAATCTCCTCCGCGTCGCCCGGCATGATGAAGGTTACTGCCTTGATCCCGACAACGGAGTTCCACCCCTTCGCAATCGCCGCGATGAACTGCGGCCAGTCGTCGTCGCTGATGGTGTTGTGCTTGATCTCTGCCGCCTCGGCCTTGGCCTTCATGATATAGAAGTTCCCGCGGTAGCTGAGGCACGCCCAAGAATCCTCGATGCTGAACGCAACGGGCTTGTCATTGTCGAAGCCTGTGACTGGTCGCCACGGTCCGCTCTCCAGCCTTCTGTAGTTCCACACCTCATCCATAGCAATGAAATCGCTCTTCTCGGCGTCATTGAAGTTCGTGTAGGTGCCCGTCGTGAAGTCATAAACCTCTACGAACCGCTCGTTGTCGCCGGGCTGCTGCCAAAACGCGCTTGGTGTAGTGAACCCAGACGGAGCTGGCCATGGAGCTACTGTACCTGCCGCAGTACGTCCTGAACTCGACGCTGATGATGATGCCAATCTCTGGCGGTCCAGCTCCATGTCGTCGAACCTTGGCTTGCTTCTTGGCGGCGCCCCAGCAGCCTCCTCCTCTGCCTTCGCAACGATGCCTCGACGTGAGCCTTGATCAGATGAGGGAGCCCGAGGTTCACTCTCGGGCTGCTGGCTGCTCTGCCTGGAAACTTCCTCATCGCCTCCTTCTGCGCCTTCATGTGGTGGAGCTTGTTGCGGTGGCTCTGTGTCGACAACCTCGTCCTCCTGCGGCGGCTCTCCATCTCCGCTGATGTCCCTGAAACCCCGCTGCTGGTGAACCTGGTTGAGCCTCTCTTTGAAACTGTGGAGCATCTCGTTGACGATCTCGGCACCCATGCTCTCCTCGTTAGTAGCTGCCCGAACCTGGATCCTGGCACACTTGAAGAGGACACCACGCATGCAGGCGAATACCGTAGATCCATTCTGAGTGGTAGAGACAACCGTAGCCGGTCCGCTCCATCCCACTTTGTAATCGATGCTCCCGTCGGGCTGTCGAACTGCAACTCGCTCCCAGATAAACACCGCCTCACCATCCTTCAACGGCTCCTGCTCCTTACGCATACGGCTCTTGAGTGCTTTCTGCATGGTCTGCTGGTCGCTGAGGCTGACGGCTGATTGCATAGCTGCTTGCCTCATAGCCTGGGCCCTCTGGTACTCCATGGAAGGTGTAGTGTGGAGCATCTCGGGGCTAATGACGTCGTCGCTAAGCAAACAACCTGGTAGTCGTAGGTCTTCGCTAAATACTCGTTGAGCTGGACTGAATCCACTTCGGTTGGTGAACCTGTTCTTGGCCTGTGTCACAAAATTGGCAAGCATGTCGATCTCGCTGATGTTGTTGCACGGCTCGATGGTCTCGGACTTCTGGAAGATACTCTTCCACCAGCCTCCGGGTCTCTCAGTCCTGCCATTCCCCCACGGTGACCTCAGATTGATGGTGTGAACGAGGGTGGCGTATTCTCGAGCCCGGTCCTGGAACTCTGCCTTGAATTCCGTGCCCTGGTCCACGACAAGAATGTGAGGCGGCCTGTAATGGCGATGCCAAGAACGCTGAACTGCCTCCCAGGTGGCCTGTGCTGAGACGCTCCCGGAGATGCGCTCCACGATCTGGTAGTTCGTCCCCCAGCAGATGGCATGCACGAAACTGAACTCCAAACCCATTACTGTTTTGACCGTAAACGTACCGCATCCAACGACATAGTTAAACCGAAACGATCGCAATACCGCTCCTGGTTGCCGAACTTTTGGACGCTTATTCGATTCACAAGCTGGGCAAACGAAATGCCGCCGGACCCAACGCAATACCGAATTACGAACCCGACCGTGACGGAGAACCCGGATGAAATCTCGAAGCTCTGGATGTCCCATATTGTTGTGAGCACGTAATAAGTCGTTGTTGTAACGGCGTCGGTATTTCCGTGGTTTCGGTATCTGGTTCATCTTCATCTCCGTCAGGTTCTAGGCTCGGATCTCCAAAATCAGGTCCAAGGCTTTCGCCCTCCGCCGTCTCCTCGTTGATCGTATCGAGCGCTGGGTACACCCCGATCTGAATCTGGTCCTCTGCAACCGCCTGAAAGAAATCGTCGATGATGTGCGGAATGTACTCCTCGGCGATGTACTCCACAACGTTCGAGTACTGGTAGAAGCACGGCTGAATGTCCACAAAGTTCTTCTCGTCCTCGGTATGCTTGATGATGCCGGCGCCCTTGAGATGCTTGACAAGACCTCTGAGGATGGCGCGGCAGAACTGTGGAGTGTACTCTTGAGCGAGCCCGGTGTACTTGCTGCCGACAAGCTGGTCGTGGTCCGAGCTGCGGTGTGTACATCGCCTGCAAACTGCCTTGAGAACCTCCGTGCCGTTGCTGAGGATGCCCGTCGGCTTCCGGTTGAGCTTGCCGCCGTCCATCCAACGCCGTCGGTGTCGGCAAGCGCTTGGATACACGGAACATCCCAAGACCGGGCGTAGACTGGCTGCTCGAAGAGGAATAGTCCGCCTCGTTCGTGTTGTTCACGGGCTAGCGCGGCACTGAACTCAAGATGTTGGAGTCCTTCATGCTCTTCGCTGCTCACAATGTCCTGGTCGCGCCTGTAGTTTGACAAGTCACGGGTGCGGCTCCAGACCTTGCACGGCGGGCTGAGGATGAGAAGAAGTGGCTTTTCTTTCTCGATGGCGCCCCTCGCCCAGTTGCGATCCGCCTCCTTCGCGAAGTCGAAGCCATTTGCGAGGTCAAGCGCGCTCCCAGGTTGAAGACCGTGATGTCGACAATACTGGGTGACTCTCGGCTTGCTGTAGACCTCGGTGACGTCGGCACCCTTCTTGGAGAGCTTCGCTAGGCTACGACGGAGTTCTCGTCGAAGGCCTTTAGAGACAACCCCCTGCTCCTCGTCATCGAACAGTACGCTGGTGATCGCGCCAGTGTTGACCTTGAAGATGTCGACGCGGTCCGTAGTGTCGGACTCGCGCTTCTCTGCGATGTAGTCGAGCTGGCCCGAACTCCCGTTCATGTACCCGGCGCCGAGGTGGTCGCCGAAGAGGTCGCCGTTCGCGAAGCCGTCCGAGTTGGCCGGCGCCACGGTGATCACGATATCCGTCTTGCTGCCGTCGTCAAGGCGCCCGAAGTAGACGAGACACCCGATCACATCTCCTCGTCGCTCGACGAGATGGTATACACCTGAGGATTTACCTCCGCAAACTCCTGCACGTACTCCTTCGTCTCCTCGCAGCCTCGTATCGCACAGAGATAGCAGTACTTCTTCTCGTAACGATCCCAGACCTTCTCCATCGGGGCTGCGTGAACTGGGCATGCTGGCACTGTAGGCTTCTGCGCCACTGCCGCTGTCACCGGCTCGGCGTTCTTTTCCGATTTGACCTTCTTCCCGCCCGGCGCCTCGCCGCAGTGCGGGATCCTCTCCCAACGCGCTCCGCGCTTCAAGCAGACCTCGTCGTAGCCCTTGCGGTTGCCCTCCAGGAGAGACATCTCCTCTGGGTGGTCGCACTCCTCTGGACTGCAGGCCTTCTTGATGCTCTTGCGCTTGGAATCCACGAGGCGCTTGCCTTTGGCGAAGTACGTTGGCACCCTCTTGTCCGTGGAAGAGCCAGCTCCCCTCTGACGCACAGCGAAATGACTGGCCAGCTCCTGGATGCCAGCAATGGACAAGAGAGCCGAGCACAAGGACTGGGAGAAAGCAGCTTCGGTGACCATGATGACCTTTCGCAAGATCCGATGCCAAACTGCCATGGCTCGCCTCTTTCTGCCTCTGGTCTTCCCGCGGTCGACTACTGGGTCCTGGCATTGACCCAGCGCCTGGCCCACGAGAGTCGGCATCGGAAGTCGTTATGGATATGAAAACCTCCGCTGAGCTCGGAGGTGGAAGCTGCGCAGATGAAAGATTGCCCTCGGCCTCTGCCGAGGAACCATACGTTGAACACAAATGGCTCCGGCAGGTCTCATTCTCGGGGCTCTCAGGTTTCACTTCGGGGTCGTCTATGTTGTCTTCCTCGGGGATGCTTTCGCGCAAGCTCCTCTCTTCGGGGCTCCTGGTCGCTGTACTCGGGGCCTCTGGAGTTGTTGTAGGAGTCCTCCTTGGCGCTACTGAGGCCCCTGGAGCCTTACTCTGGGTTGCTGTTGGTGCCATCGGGGTCTCCGAAGTCTTACTCTGAGATGTTGTTGATGCCAGCGGGGTCTCTGAAGTCTTACTCTGCGGTGCTGTAGGTGCTCTGAAGGTCTCCGAAGTTGTACTCTGAGATGCTGCTGATGAGGTGGTCAATGTCGGCAACGTCGATGATACTGAAGCGGCGAACGGCGGCGGCGGTGGCGGACACTCCACAACGGACCGCACGGGCTTGTCTTCTTTTTCTGAACCAGGCTTGCACCATCCTCCGGGCGCAAACTCGACAATGCTGATGGCCGCGTGGCCATTCTGTCCGATGGTGCGCAGCTTTGCGCCAGCACCGAACTTGTGGAAAAACGCCTGGTCGCCAGATCCGCGCAGCTTGAGGCCCATTTCCATTGCCCTGGTGAGACCAACAGGTAGCAGAGCAGGCACCTCCTCATCAAGAACACGGAATGAGACAATACCGCTCACGCCTGCAATGCCAACTGGGACCTCCACGCGGCCAACGACCTTCGCGTCGCCTCCGATGCCACGAGGTGCAGGTCCTTCGTCTGGAACCCACCGAGGTTGCAAGCCAAACTCCTTCAGCTTGATCGCCAGACCCTTCAGCTGCTCGATGCCGATAATACCCTCCTGAGCGCCTGTGTCCACGAGAACCTCCCACGCATTGATGGCCAGCCCGATGAACATGGAGATTATCTCGATGAAGAACCTCACAGCGCTCCCTGCAGGTGAAGTGTAGGACGTCGGCTGGTCGATGTTGAACTGCTGGTTGGCTCCGCCTGACGCGTTGTGCATCGTGAAAGCTCCAAGGGCAGGTCGCTGCTGTCGATTATGAGGGCACTCTCGCGCCCAATGACCAACTTGCTTGCACTCTGCGCACTTCGCCCTGAGCTTCAGCTGGTCGATTGATATCCGTCGCCTCTGTGGTGACTTGCCCTTGCCCTTGATCTTTCCCTTGTCGCCCCTGCCAGTCTTGCCGTTGCCCTTCGGCTTGAAGAAACCTCTGGCCTTCCGAGCCTCGTTCAGCTGGTTGCGCACTTGCTTGTACTCTACGGGGTAGCTCATTGCCGGGCGCATGTCCAGAAGAACCCACGGCAGGTCCTCCTCCTCGATGACGCCGTCGAGCCACTCCGAATTCAGGTAGTAGACGCCCTCGATCGGCTCTGATCCTGGAATCTGCAGCGTGCCCACGCCGTCGTCACAACCGTCGTCCTCGTAGCCAATGGTGTCAATCGCGAACGTGCCCAGCTCGTCGCTGGAGTCCGAGATGGACAAGTCGGTCGGCGGCGGCGGGGACGGGCTGTCGTAGCTGTCGTTGCCTCCGTAGAAGGTGAGCGCCACCAAGCCTGTAGTCGGTCGTGGTAGTCCTGCTCGGCGGTCTGGCCGATCGAGGCGGATGAGCGCCTTCGCAATCTTCTCGAAGTCGCATGTGCCGTCCGTCAAGCTGATCACCTTCTCGTAGCTCCGCTCGTCCAGCCTTGCGAAACGTAGCGTCGTGTAGCCCTTCAGCGTGTCCGGCAAGACGACCTTCAATCTCTCGAGCGCGATGAACTCGAGCCTCCGTCGATTCACAAACGTAGTGAACCTCTCCTTCTTGGGGTCACGTACACACGTGTAGAGAGCCTTCTCGAGTGCCTCGGGAACCTCTTCCTCCTTGAGATACTGAAGCGCATTGTCCAGGGCCCGTAGGATCAGCTCGACCGCGTTCTCGCCCGTGAGGGCTTCGTCGACGATCTCCTCGCACGCTAGCCGAGCCTGACCTCGAAGGTTCCTGAGAACCACTCCACCGATCTTCTTCTCCTCTATCATGGTGTTGGCCTGCCATCTCAGCAGGTCTCTCCTGAAGTGGCGGTGCATGTAGTCGCCCGTCGGCTCCATGAAGAGCGGTGGCGGGTCCCGATCCACTCGTGATCGAACTCTAGTGGGCTCTCCATTTTCGTCATCTTCTGGCTCTCCTCGAGCTCCTGGCGGCATCGCGGCGGTGCCTGAAACTGATAGCGGGTGCGCAGCTACCGTGGGGAGAACCACGGTTCCGCTGCCAACTGAGAAAACAAATAAAACGAAACAAGAGTCGCGGACTCTTTTCCACTGCGCGCACATCTGACCCAAGCCGGCTGCGGACGAAACACAACTGTGATGTGAAACGACTGTGGCCAACTGAGGCCTCTCCAGACTTCCAGACAACACTCTGGAAAGAGATCTATAACATCAAGAAAGCTGTAATCACATATGAATGTCTGTATGTATGCAAGTGTGTATATCTATATACATATATATATGTGGAGTCATACATGCATGCATGCATGTATGTATGTATATGTATGTGCATGGATGTATGAAAGTATGTACGTACGTACGTACGTATGGATGTATGTATGTATGCGTGCGCGCATATGAATATGAATATGAATGTGCATATGTATATGTATGTGTATATGTATATGTATGTGTCTAATGTACGTGTATATGTACGTATGGATGGATGGATAGAGATATACATATGTATATACTGTTTTCAACCGAATAAGAAAAAGAAAAAGAAAGAACAAAAAGTGCAAGCAGGGAACGGAAAGGTACAGCAGGCGGCCAGCCCGAGGAGGGAGGGAGCGGCCTCATCAGCGCGTTCCAGGCGTCTGCGGCCGGCGTCTCCTGGAGGTCCCACCGCCGACTTGTGGAGGGCGAGGCGGGCCAAGGATGGAGGACGCAGGAGAAGAGCACTGGCATGCGAGGAGAAAAGAGGAGGGAGGCGAGGGAGGGGCAGCGGCAACGAGGGAGGGGAGGGAGAGGGTAAGAATGGAAGGGCGAGGGCGAGCATGCGGAAGACGAGCGTGGGCGGGGGGAAGTAGGGGAGGGGAGGGGGCCGAGGAAGAATGACAGTGACGGTGAGCGCGAGGGCCGAGCTCCCCGAAGGAAAGCCACAAGCTTCATCGTCCACTCTCGCCGACACTCCTGGCACGTAAGGAGTACCCAAAGGAATGCCAGCCGCGCCAGTTGCAAGAAGTCGCGCCACGAGTTCAGGGGGTGCGCCGAACGCGCCAGATGCAGCAGGCACGCCAGGCGCTCTAGGCGCGTCTGATGCGCCAAGCGCTCTCGCTTCGCCAAGTGCTACCGGACTGCCACATACACACCAGATGCGCCTGGGTCGCCAGGGGCGTCATGTGCACATTTCGCTCCCGGTGCACCACTGTCCTGGCGACACATGGCAGGGAGACTATTAACCTGTTCACAGCAACTCGCTTTCTCTTTCGCTTTCCCAGCTATTGACTTTGTTTATGGGGGGGCTCGCTGTCGCTTTGGCTTTCACAACTATCAACTCTTGTCGTATAGGTTTTGCCTAGCTTTCTGCAGTCGCCCTCACTCGTCCCCTGCGGTCTTGCCTTCCAATCACAATGAATGCACACATTATGTCCGTGCCTGTCGCATTGTCTACATGCGTTTGCACTGAAAACACGCATGCTACATAGCGACTGGGTGTCAACGCTGCTATCCTTCTCCTCCTTCACTTCCTCCTCCTCTCCGCCCACCACTGCCCCTCCCCCTCCCCCCACCGGAGGCCCAACGCCAATAATGCCCTGGAACATCGCTGTGTTCAGGATCGGCATATTCGCCTCGGGGGCGCTCTCGATATCGAAGGGTCAAGAAGGCAAAGGGTGAAGACGAAGAGAGTCACGAGCCGCGAACATATCCGTACCTGCACCTTCGCGGTCTGGAATCCGGGGCGGGATCCCGCAGGTACGCAATCGCACGGATACGATCCGCGCGGGGCATCCGCGGAAAAACGCCCCGTATCCGCTGGGTCGCGGCCCAGGGGCCCGGCCCGCAAGGCCGCGGATGCGGATATGGTCTTGGCCCACGAAAACAGGGGGCGAGAAAGAACACAGACCGCTGTGCTGCGAAGGGCTCGTCCCTGACCCTCCCCGCTCCTGGATCGGGCTCTCCGCCCCTGGGAGGATCTGCCGACGAACGGCGGTGCAGAGCGCACCAGGAGGGGGATAAGCGAGGAAGGGAGATATTCCCCACCGCTACCTATACGACCACCCTTCGGGTGATAAGGAGGTTGTGGGGTGGGTGGGGGAGGGGGGGGGGAACCAACATCTGACTCAATCAATCTCATTATCGATCTCACTCAACGGGACACCACGGGACACCACGGGACACCACGGGACACTTGTCAATCTCACTATCGATCTCACTATCGATCTCACTCGACGGGACACCACGGGACACTACGGGCCGTAACGGGACACCACGGAATACCGCGGGACACCTCTCGATCTCACTATCGGTCTCACTATCGATCTCACCATCGATCTCACTCAACGGGACACCACGGGACACCACGGGCCACCACGGGCCACCGCGGGACACCTGTCGATCTCACTATCGATCTCACCATCGATCTCACTCAACGGGACACCACGGGACACTCCGGGCCACCACGGGACACCATGGGATACCGCAGGACACCTCTCGATCTCCCTATCGGTCTCACTATCGATCTCACCATCGATCTCTCAACGGGACACCACGGGACACGACGGGCCACCACGGGATAACGCGGGACACCACATCGACCTCAGTATCGATCTCACTATCGATCTCACTCAACAGGACACCACGGGACACCACGGGACACCACGGGACACCAGTCGATCTCACTATCGATCTCACTATCGATCTCACTCAACGGGACACCACGGGATACAGCGGGACACCTCTCGATCTCAGTATCGATCTCACTATCGATCTCACTCAACGGGACACCACGGGACACCTCGGGGCACCACATCGATCTCCGCATCGATCTCAATATCGATCTCAGTATCGATCTCACTATCGATCTCACCATCGATCTCACTCAACGGGACACCACGGGACACCTCGGAACACGACATCGATCTCAGTATCGATCACAGTGTGGATCTCAGTATCGATCTCACTATCGATCTCACTCAACGGGACACCACGGGACACCACGGGACACCGCGGGACACCGCGAGCTACCGCGGGACACCGCGAGCCACCGCCAGACGGACGGACGGACGGACGGACGGACGGACGGGGGAGAATCATTTGCCTTGCCTTCGCCCTAGCAACGGCGGACACCACGGGACCCCACGCGACACCACGGGATACCGCAAGCCACCGCCGAACGGACGGACGGGGGAGAATCATTTGTCTTGCCTTCGCCCTAGCAACGGCGGAAACCACGGGACACCACGGCACACCACGGGGCATCGCGGGACACCGCCGGACGGACGGACGGACGGACGGACGGGGGAGAATCATTTGTCTTGCCTTCGCCCTAGCAACGGCGGACACCACGGGACCGCACGGCACACCACGGGACACCGCGAGCCACCGCCAGAAGAACCGACGGACGGGGGAGGATCATTTGTTTGGATTTCGCCTTGGAAACGGCGGACACCACGGCACACCACGGGACACCGCGGGACACCGCAAGCCACCGCCGGACGGACGGACGGACGGGGGAGAATCATTTGTCTTGATTTCGCCCTAGCAACGGCGGACACCACGGGACACCACGGCACACCACGGGGCACCGCGGGACACCACGAGCCACCGCCGGACGGACGGACGGACGGACGGGGGAGAACCATTTGTCTTGACTTCGCCCTGGCAACGGCGGGTTCATTCCTCTCGCGCGCCCACGCGGCTTCGCCTCGCCCGCACGCACGACACGAACGAAACGAAATGATTTCCTGGATGGGGTTCCCGTTCCCCTGCGATCTCACCCCCCAACCCCCGATGCAGCTCTCTCAAAATGAAGCATCCAACTTGTGAGAGGATGCGCCTTTCAAATATCTGGCGGTCCGGTCAGCGCGCGAAAAGCTCACAAAGCTTAAAGTGGTGAGCGTATGACAGACGCGAGTGTTCCTGATATCGCATGCACCTACCAGGAGGCACGTCGCAGCGAGAACATGAAATATGTGTAAGAGGGCTGTGCCTTGCTTGTGATTGCAATTGCGGACCGTCAAGCGGGGCCCGCGCTCGGGGATGCACAGAACCACCTTTAGTAAAACGTGGTTTCGTGAAAACGACCTCGGGCCCAAACCTGGCGGGCGCAAGCCTGGAAAATAACGGCCGCGTTGCCCTCTCGAGTTCCGAAAACGGACAGTCCACTAATCGACGTGTCAGGGCAGGGTTCTGTCCACCCCCAACGCGCCCTTTCATGATCGGTCTCGTCAACCATTCTTACACTAGAGCCGCGCGCGCTGCGCGTACACTGAGGTTCCAGCGCACGCCAGGGCGCCGTCCTGGCACCATTGGATATTTGAGCAGAGCCTGCGCTCATGGGGCTGTGGACAGCGTGCGCTGGCTGCCGGCCGTGTGTGATTTGTTCGGATCGGCTCGTCTCTCGCCTTGCCCTCCCACGGCCCCGATCCTCTCCTCTCCCCTTCCTGCTCGCTCGCATCCTCTGGCCGTTCTCGCCCGTCATGGCTCTTCGCTCCTCGCTCCCATCGGCTGCCTCGTCCTGCTACGGATGTCCATCCTCCCCACAGTCAGACCTAGAATACAAGAGCATCCATCAAAAACGTGAGACCCTCCGCCGGCCCAAACGGAAGAGCACTCGAGGGTGCCCTCCCTCAGGATGCACAAGAACATCCAACAGGCACGAAGCACATCGTGATCACCGTGGTGCCCTCCCCGAACCGACCTCGATCCTATACCTCGGTCTGACTGTACTCGCTCCTGGGCCTTCTGCTGCCGCCGTCTCCCTCCCTCCTCCCTCCTCCTTTCCTGCCTCCGCCTGTCGTCCCTCATGATCTTCTCTACTGGCTCGTCCCTCGTGTATACATCCCGCGGCACGAGAACCTCCCTTCGTTTTTCTTGCCTCAGCGTGCGCGCGCGCAAAGTGCGCGTACACCTCGCGATAGCCATTTGGGCCCGTACCAGACGAAGGGGACCCAGAACCCTCGACACGCGTCGCATTTACTAGAAAGCGTCTTGAGCTGTGTACCCGTCAGTCGGAAGAAGCAGGTGGAAGCAGGAAGTAGGAGGGCGGATCAGTAGATTGGGTTCAGGCCCGCCCAAATAATAATAATCAATACTACAACAAAAATCGACTCCTCAGGTAGTAAGGCGCTTGAGGTATATTGGGATCTAGCTATACAACAAATACCTGCTTCCAACGACCAGCGTGTAATGCTGTAGTCCCGCTCCCACCTGGCTCTTACGTCTCACTCTGTCCTCCACCACCTTTCTCTGTGTCACGCCCCGTCCGTTCCTCTGATGTGTCCTTGTACGTCTTCCTCCCGCAAGGCCACCAAGATCGCCAAGATGGCCAACAGGGCCCTTCCGACTTCGAAAGCATGCCTCCATACTCCGCCCTCCCGATGGGAGGCGAGGACATGGGGGGTCCCCGAGGGCCCCCAAATCATCTGGCGACTGATGATGCGAGATGCCCTCCCTGCGCGCACAAACACCAGAGGTTCGCACCAGCCCTGCAGGCGTAGGTGATCTAGCGGACCACCTCTGCAAAATGAAAGACATCCTTCCCGTCGGGGAGGGGTTACAGTAGGGGCTCGACCACAAGAAACCTTCCACAAGAAACCCAATCCTGAGACCCCAGGACGTCCATCGATTTTTGGTGTGGGAACGTCACGCTTTGCATAGCAAAACCATCGAAGCCAAAGAAACCCAGGGCACCCTGGAGGCAAGCAGGGTGTTTCTTGGCATGGGCCTCAACTGTACTCCTCCACCTGCCCCCTCACCCAAGGTCTTTTAGAGTGCGGCCAGATGGGGGCTGGCTGACTGCAGAGCGGAGAAGGAGAGGGTGCTTGGGCCGATCCCTCCCTTGTTTGACCGGTGCCCATCTGTGTACCGCTACTGCTAGCTCACTCCCCCTTCGTGGCAACGTTCCTAGAGATCTGTGTCCGAATGGACGTGTGGGGATACTTTTTGGTCGCGGGCGGACGCGGATACGCAGTCGCCAAAAGGGTAGTCCGGGGCACGGGCCAGCCTCATTAAGCTACCGCGACAGGCGCACGACGGCCGGGCCAGCACTCAGAAGCGGCTGCCGGGGGGCTGCGGCTGAGGGAAGCTGGCGGGGAAGTCTGGAAACGCCCAGGGTAGAAGTGCACCTCGCAAGACGTGTTGGGATACGCGCAGTGTCAAAAGTTTGCCTCCAACGCGGCTGGATGGCTAACACAAAACATGTGTACAAAAAAAACAATCGATTCTGGCCGCCCTGGGATCGAACCTCCCCCACCGGCATATCGCATATGTGAAGGTGTGTTGTCGGGTAAGAGGAGCGGGCGGGGCGTCCTTCGTGACCTCCCAGAACGACTGGTTGGTGTCCGCGAACGGCCCGATCGAGACGAGGTCAAAGGCCTCAACGCACCCTCCATTGGGCACACGTCCTTTGACTACCTCGGCCAACAAATACATACTACATACTGCCAACTACATACTGGCACAAGCACTGGCAAGGTAAACCCTGGGCCCTAGACTAGTGTAGACCTCCTAGCCGCTAGCTCATGCGGGAAGGTATCGCGATTCCGCATCTTCCTCATCTTCCTTGTCCAACTCAGCATCAGCATCAGCATAATGATCATCCGCAAGACCATCATCATCAGCATCATTATCATCCTCACCATCACCATCATCATCAGCAGCATCTTCTTCCTCATCCCCATCATCATCAGCAGCATCAACATCAAAATCATCAGCACTAGCATCATCAGCATCATCATCAACATCATCATCGTCATCATCAGCAGCATCATCACAGCCACCACCACCACCATCATCAGCATCAGCATCAGCATCAGCATCAGCATCAACATCATCGTCATCCTCATTATCATCATCATCATCATCATCATTGTCATCACCGGCGTGATGACAGGTCTGCGGAGCATGTAGCATCACAACTGCATCGAAAAATACACCTTACGTGTATACATTCAATACTCGTGCATATACGTAAGACTTGGATGCAGTGTCGTTTGTGTATACGTTGAAATTCGTCGGGTGAGTATAGATATCGGCATAACCACAATCTCGCCTCCTTCATCATACTGACAATTACCGTAAATACGCCCACTACCATAACAATCACCCCCCACCCCCGTTGGCCTTGAAAAACAGTAAGCCGTAAGCATTAGCATAAATCTGTATCCATAACGATAAGCCCAACAAAGGTTGGCGATGTATTTACACGCATGTTAATATACAGTATATCACCTACATCTGTAACTACATCACGCGGATCCCCCCCCCCCCAGGCACACAAATCCCAAGACGACCGAAGAGGGCCACGTGGCGGCCCAAGAGCGCTTGGAGACGTCCAAGATGGCGTCAAGACGGCCGAAACGGTCCCCAAAACGCCCCAAAAGGGCTCCAAGAGGACGCCCAAGAGGGCCCAAAGGGGCCAAATCATTGATGCTCCGTAGGCGTTGAAAAGCGCCGTTTGGTGCTTCCAGCGCAAACAAGACGACTCAAGAGGCGTTCAATATCGCGCCAAGATGGCCCAAGAGGCTCCCAAAGGGGGCCCCACAGGCAACTCAAAAATGCCTCAGGACGGCCCCAGAGGGTCCCGAAAGGGGCAACACGAACCGACATGTCGAGCCAAGATGACTCCCGAGATCGCTAGCTGGCCCGCAAGAGGCCCCGCAGAAGCCCCAGGAGGCCCCAAGAGGCCCAAATGAGGTCCCAAGAGGCCCCCGAGAGGCCCCCGAGAGGCCCCCAAGACACACCAAAGCCGCCTCCACGAGGCGTCCGAAAGACCTCCGAAGGGATCCGCATCGCCATCCAAGAGGCCTGACCTAAAACCCAAACAACGTGGCGGGATGGGCCGAAGGCAACTAGATATCACAATAACCGTTACCCAACCCATGCTGGTTGACGTCGTCGTCATCGTCGTCGGCGTCGGCGTCGTCGTCGACAGAGTCGTCGTCGTCGTCGTCGCCGGCGTCATCAGCACCACCACCACCACCACACCAACCACCACCATCATCCTCATCATCATCACCATCATCATCATCATCATCATCATCATCAGCAGCAGCAGCATCACCATCACCATCACCATCACCACCATCAGCATCAGCATCAGCATCATCCTCCACGTCGTCATCATCATCAGAATCAGCATCATCAGCATCATCGTCGTCGTGGTCGTCGTCATCATCATCATCATCATCATCGTCAGCATCAGCCTCATCAGCATCATCATCATCAGCAGCATCATCATCGTCATTATCATCATCATCATCATCATCATCATCATCATCATCATCGTCATCAACATCGTCCTTATTAGCATCAGAAACATCGCCATCAGCAGCATCGCGATCATCATCAGCATAAATATCATCATCCTCATCGTCATCGCCAGCATCACCATCATCAGCACACAATTCCTCATCACCACCCCCGCCATCATCATCATCACCATCAGCAGCATCATCATCAGCAAAAGCATCTGCATTATACACATCGTCATCATCATCAGCATCATCAGCAGCATCATCAATCCAACCTCATCGTCGTCGGTGTCGTCAGCACCACCACCACCACCACCACCATCATCATCATCATCATCATCATCAGCATCATCGATTCCAACATCACCATTACGAACATCAGCATCATAAGCAGCATGCACATCATCATCGCAATCATCAACATCATCAGCATCATCATCACTAACATTCGCACCATCCGCAGCATTAACAAAAGCATTATCATCGGCATCTTCATAATCATCAACCGGAATCATCAGAATCGTCCCCCTCGTCATCATCATCAGCATCATCATCAGCGCCATCATCAGCATCATCAGCGTCCTCAGCATCATCATCGTCCTCATTGCTATCGCCAGCATCATCATCAGCATCATCACAAGATTGAGTATCATCACCACCGCCATCAGCATCATCATCATCAGCGTCATCGTCATCGTCACCATCAGCATCATCAGCATCATCAACATCATCATCAGCATCAGCACCATCGCCATCAGCAGCGTCACCATGTCATCATCATCATCATCATCATCATCATCATCATCATCATAATCGTCATCGCCAGCATCATAACAATATGCCTCATCGCCTCCACCGCCATCGACATCATTATCATCACCGTCAGCATCAGCACCGCCATCATCATTATCATCAGCATCATCGTCATCATCATCATCATCATCATCATCATCATCATCGTCATCATCATCGTCATCACCATCAGCATCATCATCATCAACATCATCATCATCATCGACATCATCATCAGCGTCATTTACCATCAGCATCAGCATCGCCATCATCATCCATATCAGCATCATCGACAGCGGCATCATCATCATCAGCAGCACCATCATCATCAGCAGCTGCAGCATCACCATCATCAGCCACGGCATCATCATCATCATCATCATCATCATCATCAGCATCATCATCAGCATCAGCATCATCATCAGCAGCATCATCAGCAGTATTATCATCATCAGCATCATCATAAGCAGCAGCACCATCTTCAACCCAACCTCATCTTCGTCGGTGTCGTCAGCACCATCACCATGATTAGCATCATCAGCATCGTCATCATCATCATCACCATCATCATCCTCGCCATCATCATCATCGTCGACAGCATCATATGCAACATCGCCACCATCATCATCAGCATCAGCATCAGCATCAGCATCATCAGCATACACATCAACATGGGAATCAGCATCATCATCAGCATCGCCACCATCATCATCGTCATCAGAATCAGCAGCAGCATCAATAACCGCATCCTCATCAGTATCATCATCAGCAGCATCAGCCATCAGCATCACCATCGTAATCATCAGAACCCGCATCCTCCTCATCATCATCATCGTCGCCATCATCATCAGCATCATCGACATCAGCAACATCATCATCAGCATCATCATCGTCAGCAACAGCCGCGGCATCACGAACCTCATCATCAGCATAATCCTAATCAGCATCATCAGCATCATCATCCGCATCGTCGTCATCAGCGTCATTAGCAGCATCATCAGCAGCATCATCATCAACATCACCATCATCAGCATCAGCAGCATCATCATCCTAATCAGCATCAGCATCACCATCATATCATCTATCACCCATCACCCTTGATCCTTGCTGTCCGCCTTTGCTTGCTCTCAACGAGAAGCCCCCGCTCTCGACGAATTGAAAGGGGGAACCTCTGCCCCCCCCCCCCCCCCCTCCCTGCCCGTCCTCCTCGGAGAACGTGTCGCCGCTTCCGTAAGACTGTGAGACGATCTTTTGTGGCCTCCCCCCCCCCCGTCAGAGAAAAAAAGCACAGAGGGGAGAGGCACACGTCGAAAAGGGAAGCCTGTCCGCAGAGGACCCGTCCTGTGAGAGAAAGGCATGCCCTTCCTGCGGCCAGCCCAGCTGAACTCGAGGAACACGCTGGGCCAAACGTTTGTGCAACGTGCCCAGCGGGGCCTGACGAAACGACGCACACAAGAACAAGCATGGGGAAATTACCCAGATGCGAAATACTTCTCCCCGCTCCTCCTTCCCTGATCCCTCTTCCCTTTACTATCCGACCTTTGCCCTCGTCCCTCCTCCATTCCGCGCTCCCCCTCTTCCCCCTCACTCGTCTCGCTCCCTCCTGCCCAATGCACCCCTCCCCTCCTCATATCCTCATGTGCCCCTCCTCCCTTTACCATACCGTCGCCCTTCCATCCGTATCGCCATCCCCGTTCTTGTCCTCCTCCACCCAGGCTTCCTCTTTCTCATTGTTGCCCTCGTGGTCGCCCCCTTCTCTTGCAATGAAAGCGGGGGGTGCGTGCCCCAGCTCTCCACAAAACGAAGGCGTGCAGATGCACCTGCAAGTAAAGATAAGTACCGATGAATTACATCATGAGTGAGTGGAATGTGTGCATCACCTGCAGGCTCGCAGCTTGAGCCAAGCGGCGGGGACCATGCCTGCCCCGCGTAGGGTGAATGGCTTGCGAGTGGCACCCCCACGCCGCCTTGGACCAGACAAAAGCCAGGCGCTCGCTTGAAATCCGAAACGATTTCGCATATCACGCGCATGAACAAAACAGAAAACAGTTAAGTAGACAAACATTGGCATGCCGAGCCTTAGGTGACGTTCCACTGCTCGGCAAGCGGGGTAGGCGTGTTGCAGGCCGCTGCGAAAGCATGTGCAGGCCAGAAATGTGTTGAAAGCAAGATGCGCTGCAACCAAGAGGCGAAGAAGACTCAGCATGACCTCGATGACGGCTCAACTGGACAGCAGGTGCAGAAGAGATCTGGTAGCAGCATGCTGAGCGGCGGTTGGAGCTCCAACTGAAGTACGAAACCGCAAACAAAACAAACCTCTGAAGTGCAGGGGCGGTGAAGGGGCGTGGCAAGATAGGGGCCGATGGGCCAGTGATGGACACGGCCGCTTCAACCAGCTGACCTCATCCCTCGGAGCCACCGACGGCATCCCTCTGTGGCCGCTTCACCGTGCTCAGGGTGGGCCTCACGAGCTGCGGCAGGCGAAGCCAGCTAGCAAACCAGGGGTGAAGACAGTGCGGTCGAATCAGCATTAGCCGTTTGCACCAGGGCCTCGTGGGACAGCAGTACGAGGGACGCATTCGCGAGGGCGAGGCAGTCGTTGGTAGCACGGCCAGAGGCCAAAGGGCAGATCAGCGCCAAGGAAAGTGCAGGGCGTGGCGAGGGCGTGAGATGAGGTCGAAGTGAGACATGGAGCGAAAGACGACACGAGTGAACCAGTGTCGCTCTTCCGCCAGCCACCTTGCTCCACGGAGGCTACTTGCCACAGAGTCCAACGCAATAAATCGAACGCCGAAGGCTGAGGTAGAGCGTGGGAAGCAGTGGGAAAGCCTCAAGGTCACCATGGAGCCCCACGGGCAGGTGCAGGGGAGGGAGGGGGGAGTAATTGCACGAGGTGTGACTGGGAGCGGCGTCTTTGAACGCCAGGCCCCTCGTTGCGCCAAAGATCGCGGGACCGTGCTGCTGGACTGCTGCCACCAGTTTTCGGCGGCGAGCCCCGTGTGGGGGTTAGAAGGGGCGGGCCTCCTCAGAAGGCTCGGACGTCCCCCCGGCCGTCCGAGAAGTGTTCTGAGCCTTCCCCGGAGACCGAGAAATAACCTCTCAGAGGCACGAGGGCTTCTGAGAAGTGCCGCCGCCTTCTGAGAAGGCCTTCCTCTTCTCACTTCGCAACTGGACAATGAATATTACTCTCCTCTCCCCTGGTGGCGTCTGGGGATTGTTCGGCACCCCTCCGCGTACTGGTTTTTTACACATCGAATTCCTGGAAGTAGGGTTTTCGCTCGGGATTTTGTTTCGAAATGCTGCTCTCGCTGAAGCGCTGGCCTCACTTTCGGGCTACCGCTCGTTCCGAATCGTGCTCCCGCTGCAGCGCTGGCCTCATTTCCGCGCTTCCGCTCGTTCCGAATCGTGCTGCCGCTGCAGCGCGGGCGTCATTTCCAACGCCATGCCACGGCATGGTTTTCGGTCCTTCCAACTGGCTCCAAAATCTAGAAAATGGCTCCCCGACAAAAACCATCGGAAATGATTACACATTCGGTGTCGATTCGTTGATTTGTTGGGCCGCAGAACACCCCCACAATTTGGGACGTCGCCACGCCATGCTATCTCAGGCTACGCGTCCTCGTTTCCGTACTACCACGCTTGGTTTTTTGTTTAACTCTGCTCTCGCTGAAACGCTGGCCTTATTTTCGGGCGACCGCTCGTTCCGAATCGTGCTCCCGCTGCAGCGCTGGCCTCATTTCCGCGCTTCCGCTCGTTCCGAATCGTGCTGCCGCTGCAGCGCTGGCGTCATTATTTCCAGCGCCATACCACGGCATGGTGTTCGGTCCTTCCAACTGGCTCCAAAATCTAGAAAATGCCCTCCCCCGGAAAAACCATAACCAGCGGAAATGACTACACATTCGGTGCCGATTCGTGAATTGTTGGGCCGCAGAAGCCCCCCCACTTTGCGGCGTCGCCACGCCATGCTATGTCAGACTACGTGTCCTCATTTCTGCGCTTCCGCGTTTTGTTTTTTTCAAAATACTGCTCTCGCTGAGGCGCTGGCCTCAGTTTCAGGCTACCGCTCGTTCCGAATCGTGCTCCCGCTGCAGCGCTGGCCGCATTTCCACGCTTCCGCTCGTTCCGAATCGTGCTGCCGCTGCAGCCCTCGCCAGCCCCTGACCGGGCAGTGTGGAGATGTCCGAGAGCCACGGACTCGAACCATTGGCGCTGGCACGATCCCCGCCAGGAAGTAGCAGGTGCAAGGAGCAGATCGAGCACCTACTGCAGCTTGGCCAGGTCCCACCAGCCCTCTGGGCGTGCGTGGCGGAGGGCGGTTTCTCTGCTAGCTTCCCTTCTTCCCCTTCGGGGAGGGGTCTACCCCTCCCCCTACCCCCAAGACGGCTCAAGATGGGTCAAGATTCCTTAAGATGGGTTCCAAGATGCTCATAGGCTCCAAGACCGCCTCAAGACGGTTCCAAGTGGCCTTGGAGCACCCCCAAGAGAGCCCCAACAGGCCAAAACCCTTCCAAAACTTAAAGGAAATCAATGTTGTTTGCTTTCTCGGCTTTTCGCTTACGATGGCCTTGCAAAGCATCAGGATGGCTCCAAGATGGCCCAAGAGGGCACCAAGAGAGGCCCAAGAGGGTACCAAGACGGCCCCAAGAGCGCTCAAGAGCGTTCCAGGAGCGCTCCAAGAGGGTCCAAAGAGGCGATGTTAGAGGCTCTAGAGGAGCGCTGCTAATTAAGGACTCCTCCTTCTTTGATCGATGTCCTACACCTACAAGATGGCCTCAGAAGGGCCTCCGGGCTCCCAAGAAAGCCCCAAGAGGCCTCCCCGAGGCCCCTACGACGTGACTAAACGGCCCCAAAAGGCCTCAAGAGGCACCCCTCAGCAGCACCCGAGATCACCAAGAGGCATCCAAGACGGCCGAAGAGGCCTCCAAAGAAGCCCCCGGGCGTCCACGAGGCCTCTGGCCTTCTGCTCGCCCTCCTCCTCCTCCTCCTGCCCCTCATCTGCCCATTCCATTATCCTTCTATCTCCTCTTCCTCGTCCTCCTCCTCATCCTCCATTTACTCCTCCATTTACTCCTCAATCCTCCTCCTTCGACAGGAGACGGATAGCCCCTACCTTGTTCCTACAAGACCCTAGTCACCCCAACTCTCCTGGGCATCGTTTCTGGATGGGCTGGTGGGGCTACGCGGAGCGTCAACAAGTCTTGTCCTCCTCCTTCTCCCAGAAGGCCACCGGTCCAGCAGGACCACTGGTCCACATCGACACCAAAGCATACAAAGATCGAAACCAGTGGTACTGGCATAGGGCGAAATCTGCAGCAGCAAAATGTCTCGCCCAACGTGCACCAGCTCGTTCAGAAGGCCACCATACCTGCTCGACTCCTCCTCCTCCTCCTCCTCCTCCTCCTTCTCATCATCATCATCATCATCATCATCATCATCATCATCATCATCATCATCATCATCATCATCATCATCAGCAT